GGGGTGTTTTAGCAAACAAAAAGCATTGCCCCCCCCCCCCCTTAGCTGATTGTTCACTATTATGTAAATAAATGTGAGCATTTATCTATAAAAGCTCAGTCAGGGTTGTGGGCTGTGATCTATCTGCCAGGGCTGCTTGTAAGTATGAAGCCCAGCAGATAGATTAAAGCTAACAATGCAGAGTGAGCGTTTATTAAAAAAAAAAAACGCTCGACATTGTCAGGGCTGTGTCTTACAGTGTACTGATCCTGAAAGCGCTGATCATTCATTCATAAAAGCGTTTCGGGGCTGTGATCTATCTGCCAGGGTTGGGTTTACAAGAAGCACCAGAAGATAGATCATTTAGCCCTGCTGTGCTGAGTGAGCTTTTATGACTCCAGAAAACATATCATGGTTCCACCGCATATCGGTGATACAAAAACTTATTGGCTACCTTAAATGCTGTATTACTCTCCCTGTCTGGGTGCCAACCTATGCCCTTAAGGCTATGTAGAAGAGGGTCCACTGCTTTACAAAGTTTGATGATTTGGGAGAACTTTACGTTTTCAGGTTGCATCCTATATAGCCCTATGTTTCTACCAGGTTATGACTACCCATTAGCTTTTTATTGATGGATCACAAACAACTTTAATATAATATGTAAAATCAGAGGTATGTTGGGAAAGTGCTCCTGGAGGTCACTCCAAGAGTACTTCAGTTTTCCTGACCAAGAAATAATTAGCTATATACGTTTAATCCAAAGCACAGACTCCCCTATACAAATTATCTTTTGCTTACCACATTTTTTTAGTTGTCTTGATGTCACACCTACGAGTGGTTTGCTGCAATCTCCTATGTACCAAGCCTATGTTTAAAAGTAGGAATAGAATTATTACATTGTATTACATTAACATACATTGTTAATGTATTAACAAATCTACAGAAGTGGTTCAAGCTATAGGCACCATTAACTTAAAGAACTCTGGGCATGGTAAGCATTAACCCTTGCAGTGGGTATACTCGCCTGATCCTCCGTCCTGCCTGGCTGCTAGACTAATCCCCACAACCTATTCTCTGGGCTCCAGCAGTCTAAGGACCTCTGACATCATCACGTCCATTACAAAGTAGGTGAGGTTGAATAAAGACAAAGGTCCGTCTAGTTCAACCTATATGTGTGCCTGGAAATATTTGGTTCTAGTAGTTCCCATATCCTTGTATGTTTAGTGAACTAAGAAACTCCTCTGAGTTTCTTGATTTCTTCAATGGTATTAGCAGATACTAATGACTGCAAGGCAATTCCACAGTTTTACTACTGACAGTAAAAAAAAAAAAAAAAAAACACTTGCGCAGTCTTAAGATTAAACAGCCGCTCTTCTAGCCTCTTGTTGTGTCCTCATGTCATCAATAGAGTTCTTGGTGTAAACAGCTTATTCCAAATGTTGTGGTCCCCATTTATTATTTTGAAAATTGCAATTGTGTCCCCTCTTAAGCGCCTCTTTTGTAAGGAGAATAGGTTTAATTTGTGCAGGATGGCTCAACTCAGGCCCTCCAATCAATTTTGTAGCCCTTCTCTGAACTCTCTCAAATTCAAGGACATCTTTCCTAAGGGTTGGTGACCAAATTTTGATTGCATACTCTAGATGAGGCCGCACCAGTGATTTATAAAGTGGTAATATTATGCTGTTATCCCTTGCCAAAATCCCTCTTTTCATGCAAGACAGTATCCTGTTCACTTTGCTGGCCGCTGCCTTGCATTGCATACTTTTGCAGAGTCTGTGATCTATGAGCACTCCCAGGACTTTCTCCATTTACGACTACCCCTAATGGAGCAACCCCTAAATAGTAGTTTGTGCACACGTTCTTTGCTCTCATGTGCATACCCTTGCATTTTTCAATATTAAATTGCATCTGCCTTCTTGCAGCCCACGCATCAATTTTATCTAGGTTTTATCTAGGTCTGTTGAAGTGAAGTTATGTCTTGCTTACAGTTCACTGCCCTACATAGTTTAGCATTAGCTGTAAAAAGCCGCGATTAAACTATTTATTCCAATTTCTATGTCGTTGATAAATAACTTAAACAGGATCGGTCCCAAGACTAACACTTTCCACTTTTGCCCAGTTAGAAAATTACTCCTTTATTACTACCCTCTGTATCTGATCGTGCACACGCCAAATCTACTGGTATTGCTCGGTCTAAATTAATACAGACTTACTAATAGAATGTCAATAGATTGGTCTGACAAGAAGACTTTCATGAAGCCATGTTGGTTGTTACATATGATTCCATTTTCCTAGTGAAGTTCCTGTATGTAGTCCCTTATTATTCCTTTGAATATTTTGCACACTATTGACGTTATGACAACTGGCCTACAGTTACACGGTCTATTCCTTTTCCCATTTTTTTGTATTCACTTTCCACCAATCAGCCAATACCATACTTGACATGAAGTCCTGGAGATTTGTTTACATGTAATCTTTCCAGACTTTTTTCTTTCTCTGCTCTCTGACATCCACTAGGATACTAAAACTTTTGTTTCCATCGGTGATGCGTCAAATATTAACCCCGTCTGTCTGCTCAATAAAGACAAGCATTGCATTGAACATGAGGACCCCGAGGGACAATTCACAGCTAGAGCGAAGGGGTAGAGAGGTGAGCGGTCACGGCTTCGGGACCGAGGATCAGGTGAGTATATCTTCTCTTTTTTTATTATTTTACACCCTAGACAAAAATGAGCACTTAACTCAGTGCTGGGTAGCCTTACTGCAAGGGGTAATATTTATTATATCCAGAGTTCTTCTTTAAACCATTCGGAATGTATACTTTTCCTTCAAGAGTTTCTATTTTATCTAAAATCTATAAATAAATGTTTCCATGGATGTGATGATGTGGAAGTGATACTCTACATTTGGTAAAAAATGGCCAGATCTAGTGAGGTTTTGGATAGTTCCAAATTCTGTTTTCTAAAAACATTTGTAAAAATGAATGGGTGGCTTTGCTTCATGGAACAGTTAAATCTCTATCTAAAGGTTAACATACATTTGCAACTTTTATTTCATTTGCTGCTAAGCAAACAACTGCCAAAGTGTGGAAGAAGCTAAGTGTCCACTTTACAGAAGTAAAGGCTCGATGGCTTTATGATAAATAAAAAATCCAGCATATTATTACATACACATTACTTGTTTTTGAACATATAGACACTCTAGATTAACTAGTCCCATCCAGAAGTAATTGCACCTTGCTGTTTGATATCATGAATACTGGAAGTACCCCTGCTACAATGTTTCTTCTGACCTCTGATACGGATATACTGTTTAGATTTAATCTTTTGTTTTTCTATTGTGCATATATCGTATATATAGAGACCTCCCGAACATGATATGCAGGACACCATGTTAAAGGTTATTAAAGAGAAATTTTTAGAAGTATACAAAAAGGAGAATGTCATAACTTACTGTGGGCTGTACAGACACTTTCAGATGCAAAGGGCAGTTTGGTGTATATATCCCATTGTGCTATAACTATGAGCAACAAAACATTATTGTGGGAAATACTCTTTCTAAAGTGTCATCTCGATCTTTTTACAGCATATTTGATATCAGAACTTGAAGCTGCACGAATGCTCAGTGTTAATTTGCCTATAAAGAAGGAACAAGATGGAGGAGGCAGCGAGGTGTTTAAGGAACTGAAGACTATATGCATGACTTTGGGAATGTCAAAACCCCCAGCCAATATAACAATGTTCCAGTTTTTTAGTGGAATAGAAAAAAAAGTAAGATATTCTAGTTTGTGTTCTCTGCTGGTTAGCAAAATGCTCCTCACTGACCTTTTGACTTTCTACCATTCGTAAATGTTAAGCCAACCATCAGTTTGTTCAAGTTACTGCTCATAGTATCTATGCTATTTGCTTACTTGGCCTATTCTGGTCATTTCCATATTTCTGTGGGAAGAAGAGGCCCTGTCTGTAATTCTATTTATTAGGCCATTCAGTCTTGTAGTGGTCTCAGATGTAGGTTGAATAGCTCAGTTCACACTTTCCCTTACATACTGTCCCATGTACAAGCTTTTTACCAGACAGGAAGTGAAGGAAGTTCTCGAACAGCAACAGACCAAACTAAAAATTTTATTTTTTTTAGGTTAAGCTGTGTGCTAGAACCTATGTCCGTTTTTGTTGTCTTTGTCCCTGTTTCAGATTTTTGCTCACTTCCTATCTGGTAAAGGCCTCTAAGCCCCCTTCTAAGCCCTCCCCCCCTCTATCCAAAACGAAAAAAAAAAAAAGTTTTGGCCATAGATACATTTTAACTGTGCTAACTTGTACAGAGACTGTTATGAGGGTCACTCAGTAAGTTACCTTCCTAGCCTACATAGACGTGGACCAATAATTTGTGTTTCATTATATATTTTAAGCCTTCAAAATTAAGTGCGTATAGTATCACGTTTGTATAGTTAAATGTTGAGGAGCAGTCATCTGTCGATTTAAGACATCTGTAGATTCAGTAATGGATTTTATGCAGAATAAGCAGACAGTGACAGGGAGTTAGATATACATCTCTCACAAACCAATTACTAGCTGCAATGAAGAATAAAAGACATGGCAAGTTGTCATGTGACATCTAACGCCTCACGACATTGCCCCTGCTAACAACAATGCCCCCTGCTCACGCTTTTTTTCATTGATGCAGTGTTGGAATATGGCCTTGAATTGCTTCATCACCCACCCTGCTGTCCAGACTTTGCACCTAGTGACCATTTCCTCTTCTGACATTTGAAACAATTGCTTTGTGGGTCACAATTTTAAGGCGATAGAGTTGAACTGTCTTGTTTAAGAGTTCATACATTTTTATTTGGATCCAGACCTTTAGGGCAGGTTCACACCATTTTCTGGACCAGGTCTGGAACGCAGTGCATTGCGTTTGTGCCGCGTTTGGAATTAGTTTTTTTATTATTTATTTATTTTTTACTTTCAAAGTATTTTATAAAATGTTTAAGATAGAATAAAACAATAAGATAGCACATGATGCACAAACAGTAAAGCATACAATTGCGTCTCAGAGTCTTCCACATTAGCATAGTCAGGTAGTAAGAGGGGATCACTAGAAACCATACACACAATGCATAATAGTTCTGTGAAACAGAACATATCCATCCACCTACTTTTGCCAAATTATCTCCCATCATCAAAAACAAAATCAAAACAATCTGAGAGAAATATCAAGCATAGGGATCCACCTATGTTTGAAGCAAACATTTGGTATGACCTCCTTCATATCTATATACATAGAAGACTTTCCGTCCAACATCAATGTACTAAACAGCTCACCTGTGTGAGCCTAAAGAAAGAAAAAACACAAAAAATAGAAGAAAAGGAAAAAGATACTAAATGAAACAGAACAGCTTAAGAGTCCAAAAAGAGTAGACCGTCCCCGACCAGATAGCCCAACGTCTACTTAAACATAGAACTCCCAAAAAATGGGCCCTTAGATATTAATGACATGATTAATGTCAGAGCCAATGGTGCTCCAGTCATTTGTTGGAGTGCCAGCAGATGTGTGATCAGGCTAATCCCAGGTGTTGAGTCTAAAGGTGCCCATACACCTTACGATTATCGTACGATTATTGTATGCGATCGACTTTTCGTAAGACAATCGTAACGTGTGAATGTAGTGCCCGACCGATAGTACTGTACAATCGTACGACTTTTGACGGTCAAGCATGTTTGAAAACTTTGGTCAATCGTACGATGTTCGCATGGTTGGTGGCGTTTCCGTCCGTCAAAAGTCGTACGATTAACACTGCGCAAACTAAAATAATTGCGGCCAATTACCGCAAGTTGTCCAGGTGTTTTTTTCTAACTACAGCTGATTGAACCTTGCGACTATCAGGGCAGGATGGGGACGTCGTACGGAAAATCGTACCACGGTTCGATCATCAGACGAAAAGTTTCGTCCGATAATCGTAAGGTGTATGGGCGCCTTTAATGCTTGTTCGAGAGAAATTATTTTTGAACATAATGGGGGGTGGGGTGGAATTTATCAACACTGCAGCAGACAGAATCTAGAGCAGTTATTCATAGTAACAATCAGCTTCTCTCTTCAGTTTGTTCTGTTAAGCTTTGAAAATGAACGCTCAACGCTGATTGGTTACCAGATCCTGTCGGGTTCGATAAATTCTTCTTGTCACTGTTTTATAGGTTAATGTTATTTTTATACTTTTTTCTTAGTTAAAAGAAACCCTAGCAAAAGTGCCACCCAATCACCTAGGAAAGCCTCTTCTGAGCAAGACATTGGGGCCATCTCATTGGGTAAGTTGTATTTTTACATGCTACTGTTTCCATGAATTCCATACTGGCTTCATTCCATAATATTGAACTTCAAATTTATTTAAAGGAAAAGTTTATCCAAAGATGGAATTTCCCCTATGCACAGCTGAGGCCACCCACCTCCAATAAATAGGAACCAGAGAGTCGATACATTTTGAATCAGCAATCTGCCCCCTCAGTGCCTCCTGTCCCTCACAGGGGTAGAGATGGGAAAGGCTGGGAAAAATTGGGGGGGAAAAAGTTTTTTTTCGGGAAAAATTGAAATAAAAAAGGAGTGTGGAATTCACAATGATAATTGCACAGACTCTGTGGGACATCAGAGAAGAGGAGGACAGAGGAGTCATCGCTGGATCAGAGACCGCACCAGTGCTAGTCAGCGCTGGATCGGAGACCCGCGCTGGAGGGACAGCTGAAAAGGACAGTAAAGAAGAAGATCGGATCAAGAGGTATCATTTAAGGTTAGTCCTTACACTAACATTGGGTGGGGGGAAAAAATAGCCTTTAATGTCACTGTAATGAAAGATTTCTGAGACTTTATGTAAAGTCTTAAATTATTGCACATTCCCCCAGCTGAGGACATGCAAATCCTGGAATACAATTCAAGTAACACAGTACTTCTCAATGCAGTTCTCAAACTCGCAAAGAAATATGCATTTCTGCCACTAGTGGCACTGCAGAGGAAAGGCTCCAGTTTAGTTAGCTTGTAGGCTCTGTCTTGTACTTCCTACAGTTGGGTGATTGTTGGTATGATAGTAGATAGTTTCTGTCCTCTCAGGCCTTAATTGACAAGTAAGAAGGTACATCTGACAAATTAGTTTAGCTTTATAACCGTTAAATGATTCATAATTATGTTCTACACCATCACACTGTAATGTTTACCTATAGTCTGGTCAGTAAATTGTTTTTTTTCCCTCCTCTCAGTAAAATGGTGAGGCCAACATCTAAAGTTTGGAAACATTTTCACAGGGCAACTTCTGCTGAGAGCAAAGCTGCAATTTGCAAATATGGTCTTGCTTGTTTTGTTGCTTTTGAGGGAAAGGGGGTGGTTATCTGTTCTCATGTTTAGTTGAAATGTTATTAACATCTACAGTCTTTGCAATAAAAAATAACATTTTAGAAAGCAAGTTTAGATTATTTACTGAATAAGCTTTACTTTTATTTCAAGAATAATACTTTTATATACACTGCATTTCACATTCCCGGTGTAACAAAATTACTTACAATTTGTCAAAATACAATTTGCATTTTTTTTCTCAATTTTTCACAAAATTTCCAAAAAGTTTACATCTCTATACAGGGGCAGGAGCAGAGGTAGTGCTGCTAAAGGGATCTAGGTGGGGATCTCCATGTGCTTCTTTTAGATTACTCCTTTTTGGAGTGATTCCTACTTTTTACCAACTGGTGAACCTTGTGGGGGGTGGAAGTATTGGTGTTTTCGCTTTTTCATTTTAATACAAGGTTAAACATTAAATCAATGATAGGAAATGAAGGTGTTTAGAATAAATGTTTTACCCAAATCCTATAAACATAGATTTTTTTTTGGTTTGAAAGGTGTTTCTTTAGGTGTTGGGTTGTTGCAGTTAAAGCTCCATTGACACCTATATTTTAGGTGCAATTAGGGATTCCTGTGTCGGGAACTTATGATTCCCTGCAGCAGGAATCCCTAATCTGCCGTTTACAAGCGTCAAGTTAATGATCGAGTGACAGCTGCTGCATTTGAAAGCAACAGAACGCCAGCATACCACATGTAATCGTATGTGATATGATTACATGCGGTCAGGAATCAATCACATCCCTGGACGCATCGATAAGGCAAGCATACATTTTATCACAGTTCTGGTGTGAATAGGCCATAGCGTGTTGGTGCAGTGCACTGAACTAACACACATAACATGCATTACCACATGGTGTGTAGTGTACATTACGTGTATGTAATGGCGGAGGAGGTGGTTTCTGAGGGGTTTTTATATTATATATTATTTTATTGTATTTTTTTTTTTTTTTTTACTGTACTGTCAGGGGACTTTGGGAAAATATCAGGGGTCTAAACAGACCCTAATATTTCACATTTGTAATAGTAAAAAAAGAATGAGGAAACAGTCCTCAATCTCTTTTTCCTCTGCAGCTCCACCCTCACTGACGCTGATCACAGAAGTTCTGAACTAAATGTTCATGTTTACTATATCTTCGGTTATGAAAGAACGCTGAAGTGATCAGTATTGTTCCATCTGTCACTACCCGCTGCATCCTCAGTCTAGTTGTTCCACAAATCTGCACATGGGTGAGATCCTTCCTTTTTTGCTTATACTATCCACTGTGGTCAAGTGGATTTCCATATAGCTAGAGACATATGTGCAGGGCTTAAAAATCCTCTCGTCTGTGACAAGACGACGCCGAAGCTGGACGAGTAGCTTCCCGGCCGGCCGTTGTAATTAAAGGAGAACTATGGGGTCAGTGATTTTCCCCATAGTTCTCCTTAGGGTAACGGGAGGACACAAACTAGCGTCCTCCCGTTACCCTAAGCTCAGTTACGTTACTGAGACGCCGCAGCCGGAGCGGATCCCGACGTAGATGACGGGATCCGCCCAGCTGCGTGAGTGACAGCTGGCACTGCCTATCTAGAGGCAGAGCCAGCTGTACCTGCCCCGTCCGTTCCGCCAGTCAGCGCTGGCAGATCGGAGAGGGGAATCCAGCCCCTCCCCCTGTCACGGCAGAGAGCCGTGACAGGATCGAGAGGTGAGCGAACCTGGTATGTGTTCGCTCACCTCACGATCTACTGAGCCGACCTGTGACAATCTCATTGTCACAGGTCGGCTAGAACTATGAGGTGAGTGGAAATCACTCATCTCATAGTTCTCCTTTTAACTGGCCGGCCAGGAGCTTCTTGGCTGGTGGTTTACATTTAAGCGATCGGGCGTGTCTAGCTTGTATTAGCTGCGGTTTTACCACCGCCGCTATCCCGAGATGCGCTGTGCCCAGAATAATGAAAAAAAATTAAAGAAGCATAAAAAAATTAATTAAAAAACAAAAAAAATTTTAAGTCCCCCGCCCCCCACATACACACACAAACATGCGTTGGGTGTGTCTACGCTGCGAGAACGACTATTGTGCCGCCCATGTTGCATATCACCACAAACGTCAGAGTATGAGCAATAATTGTAGGGCCATTAATCACTGATAACACTAAACCCTGCGTGGCCCCAAAACTTTGTTTTTGGATAATCTGCATCAATAAAGAAGATGGATTATTGACACAAGACATAGGTGTGCTGGTGACATTTACCATATATTTGAAGATGCACGGCGCCATCCATGGTTACTACAGCACCCTCCTTTATACATAGGGGTTCCGGTAAGGAGTGCAGCAGTTCCTCTCCAAGATTGTATTGACCCGACCTTACCCAGTCTTGTAAATTTTACCAAAAATATGGGTAAGAATAAATGTTTTTTTAACATAATGTAGGGAAAACATTTTTGTTTCCGAAATGTACTGTACTTTTTTCATTATAGTAAAAAAAATTAAAACCCCAGTGTTGATTCATATACCACCAAAAGAAAGCTCTATGTGTCCCAAAATAAATGTTAACATACATTGCAAGGCTATAGTCGGGTCATGCTGACTGGTGACATTTTTGACTGACTGGTGAGACACCCTAAAATTGTTCAAGCCCTGCATATGTGGACCCATTCACAGACTGGTTACATATGTCTGCAGAATTTTGTGGATTTGATTTCCTTCGAGTCTAGGCTGTCGTTTTAAAGTGTCATTAAAGCCAAACCCAGCCCCCAATGCTAGTGTAAGGACCTACCTTAAATGATGCCACTTGATCTGTTCTTCCCTGTAGTTTTCAGCAGCCCCTCCAGCGCTGGTGCAGATCTCTGATCCAGCGCTGACTCCTGTCTCTGCCTGGCACTTCCTGTCCAACGGAGTTGGTGCGGGTGCATGCTGCCTCCATTTACTTACCTTGTGTCTCTCCTCGTCTCCCGGCCGAAGATCTGAACTGCGCATGCGCCCGCTTCATGATCCTTTGAGGCTGCCCGAGAATCTTCAGATCTTTGTAAGGTAGCGCGCGGCGGAGACACAGTAACATTTTAACACTTTTGAAATATTTTTTTTTTTTCATTATTGTTTTTGCATATATATATAGATCTATATAAAAAAAAGCCCCATGTGGGGGAAAAGGAGGGTTAGAGGATAATTAAAGCCTCATGTGTGTTTGCATATATCTACTGCTAGCAAACAGTAGAGATATATATATA